TTGGGACCGGTTCTTGCTACTTGCAAAGCCCCTCGTTGTTGCTACCGCGTATGGAAACCTCATCGAAGCAGTCTCTCCTTTTGTTTTAGATTTTCATGGTAGTAAATCCTCATGGAGATAGCGTAAGACTGGAACAGTATCGCCAGCCCTCGCTGTTTAAAAGAATTCATTCTCTTTTCCGTGATGGTTGGCCAACAGCTAGAACAAACACCCCGTAGAGGTCCGTGATCCGCTTTAGAAACATCAGGCTGATAGAGTGTAAAATCCCGGGATCTTAATTTTTGAGGAAGGATGGACCCAAACTTCAGGATCTCGACTGCATGCATGCTCCTTTCGCGATGACAAAGGCCGGGGGTGCCGGTGGACTGGTCCAGTGGCTAAACGTTTTTTACAAAGTGGATCTTGCCGGGTGGTGGTGTGTGCAGACGAGCTAGGACTGAAGCACGCGCATTAGCTGGGCTGCACTGGTAGATGAATTTGGACAGATGTCATTGCCGGGCGTTAACTAGGTGTTTCACAGTTACTACCAGGGGCATTGTCCTATTTGTTATTGATCATGTGTTTTTGCGAACATGTTCTCTTGTGGTTCGTTTGAGGCCTGCCGTCCAGTTTTCTGGATTTTTTGTCTACCTGTCTGCAGAGTCCTCTGTTTTCTTGCTAAACTTCCACAGTTGTGGTTCCATCAGGCTCAGCGAGCGCATTTGCAGGATCAGCATGCCTGAAATAACTTACTCCCATCGGTGAGATGAATTCCATGTCACACTGGCGCGAAGTAGAAAAGGGATGCTGATTTGTACAGCCCTGTAGAGTTACCAACCAGATGTGCAAAGTGTATCTTTTTTTTTTTTTACAGAATAAGAAACTGAGTCAGAGCTGAGTAGCTGTGTAGTTTGGATGTAGCCAGGATCCCGGCTTCCTACTGGACAAGCGTGCCAGAGCAGGAAGTAGTGTTTACACTGAATGCATGAGACTTCATAGTCTGTTCCTCTTTTCCTTTAACAGGTGCATCACCCAGTATTTAATTTTGTACTCTGTTAATCTGTATTTGCAATTTGGCCTTTTAAAGTATTTCCTGTTTGTTTGCTGTGCTAGACATGACTTCTGCTATGTATGTTTCCTGTTGATTTCCCTTTTCATTCCCTGCTGCAAGTTGAGTTCTGGTTATTCCATAGGCTGAACATTTCTGGAAAATTTTTCTCTTTTCCTGGAGTTCCTCAGACTCCCAAGGTCGAAGGTCCCAGGGGCAAAGGCAGTTTGTTGGGTATTTTTTTTCTCTAGGGTAATAATGTGTAACCTTTTATCATCTAACGCATTTTTTTTTTTTTTGGAGGCACCGCTGGGATACGAACCCTAACACATTATTTTTTATTGATTGATTTTAGAGAGAGAGACGTAAGAAGTGGGGGAAGAGAGAAACAGAGAGACAGAGACATCAACCCCTTTGTTCCACCTACCCATTCATTCATTCATTGATTCCTGTGTGTGTGTGACCCAAACCCTAAGCCTTGGCATATTGGGAGGACACTCTAACCAACTGAGCTACCCGGCCAGGGCTCGATAGTTTTACTGCAGTTCTCAAGTTATAAATGCATTTTGAGATCTTTATTAATGGATCTGAGAGAAAATGAGGATACACTCTACAGATAATCCTCAAATCTCATTGTTCTAATAGTTCCAAACTTTAACAGTATGAAAACTTGCCCCCCAAAGGAAGGCAAAATTGACTAGCTCTTTTACATTTTGTTTTCTCCCTTTTTTATATTTTATAGAAATTTAACTAGGCAAATAAAATAAAGAAAAAGGGATATAGTCAGACTGACTACCACCCACTCTCCCAAAGCAAGTGTTCAATAATTTAACAAGTTGTTCTGGGGTTGTTGGATTATGGTTGTTTCTTTTCTTGTGGTTTCCAGCTTTTCTCTGTGAGCTATTTTTATATTATGAAAAAGTAAGTTTTGCTTGAAAGATAATAGTGTAAACATTGATCAGGCCTGCAACCTGGACATGTGCCCTTGGCTGGAATCAAACCCAGGATCCCTCAGCCGCAGGCCAATGCTCTATCCACTGAGCCAAAACCAGTCAGGGCTGGATATTGTTTTAATAAAACTATAGATGTTGCCAAAACCGGTTTGGCTGAGTGGATAGAGCGTCGGCCTGCGGACTGAAGGGTCCCAGGTTTGATTCCGGTCAAGGGCATGTACCTGGGTTGCGGGCACATCCCCAGTAGGAGGTGTGCAGGAGGCAGCTGACCGATGTTTCTCTCTCATCGATGTTTCTAGCTCTTTATCTCTCTCCCTTCCTCTCTGTGAAAAATCAATAAAAATATATTTAAAAAACCCCAAAAACTATAGATGTTACACTTCAGTAATAATAAAAACAGCTATCATTTATTGAGCTATTACTCTGAGCCAGGCATTCTACTAAGTACTTACCTCCTATATCTCATTTATTCCTCAGACAGTTTTGCAAAATGAGGATTATCCCCATTTTAAAAATGAGGAAACTAGCCCTGGCTGGGTAGGCCAGTAGGTTAGGGCATTGTCCTGATATGCCATGGTTGCAGGTTCGATCCCTAGTCAGGGCACATACAAGAACCAACCAATGAAGGCATGAATAAGTGGAAGAACAAATTGGTGTTCCTCTATCTCCCTTCCTCTCTCTCTCAAATCAATAAAAATTTTAAAAAGACTGCTAACTAAAAAATAAAAGAAAAATGGGAAAACTAAATATTTAGAGAGTTAAGATAGTGGGCAAATGAAGATGTGAATTGAAATCTGTTTTGCTCCAACGCCAGAACTACGCTGTTTAGCTTCAGTGCCTCTAGAAGACTCTTGCATCTCTCTTTGAACTTGGCATGGTGTCACAAAGGTTGTTGCTACCAGTCCAAGGCCAACAGAATTCCCAATGTGTGGTGCTGTGAAGGGAGAAACTTTATTCAATTGAAGCTGCTCCAGTGGAACAGCTCAGTTGACACAGTTTGAAAACCATGGAAATGCAGTCGTCAGTAGAAACTGAAAATGCCCTCCTGGAGACAAAGGGGAAGCTGTCTTACATAGAGAGAAATGCCTGCTCCCTGTTCCTGATTGTTCTAATTTCATGCAAATGAAGACTCCCAAGTTCTCCCTGTTTTTATTTATTTATTTAAAATATATTTTATTGATTTTTTACAGAGAGGAAGGGAGAGGGATAGAGAGCTAGAAACATCGATGAGAGACAAACATGGATCAGCTGCCTCCTGCACACCTCCTAATGGGGATGTGCCCGCAACCAAGATACACGCCCTTGACCGGAATCAAATCTGGGACTCTTCAGTCCACAGGCCGACCGTAGCTCTAGCCACTGAGCCAAACTGGTCAGGGCAGTTCTCCCTCTTCTTATTGGTAATTCTGGAGCTGCTCTGATTGGTTGGTAAATATGCACGTGAGGCTCTAGCTGCCAGCTTTTGATTGGATGGGGAAGGTCTCAGTTTATAAGTTAAAATACAACAGCAGGAGTTTATAAGGGTCTGCTCAGATGGCAGGTACACAATGCAGGAGGTTTGGCAGGTCAGTCTATGGCTTTTCCTTGAGGTATAGCGAGTGTGAGAAGTCTCTAAACAATGGCTGTTAGACTCTTTATGAATTTGGGCCCAGTTAACCACAGGAGTCCTCTGGACAGGTATATTCTTTCTTGGGGTTGACAGTGGGTATAATTAAGTGAATGTAAGACCGGGAAGTAAGGGTATTTACTCTTCTGGGGCAGACAGGTTTCTCTAAATACCTAATCAATATCTTGACCTGTACTACCCAGAATATTGCCCCATGGGTATACTTGATCTTAAACAGTATTAGCAATTTTAAAAGTACCCTCTCCTGAAGCCATGATGAACCACATAAATTTTTGACATTTTCACATATTGATTATTTTTTACTTAGCTTTCTTCTTGTAATTATGACTTCATGCCATTAAGCAAGTCTAATTTCTAATGTGGGTTCAAATTCTAGTTCTGAATTTTAGCTATGTGATCTTAGGTAAGTTCCTTAACGTCTCTAAAATGTTTTTCTTGATGGTAAATTGGAGATAATTTAGTGAAGATTAGATGACTATAAAATTCTTACTAGTGCCTAAGATACAGTAATGGCTAAAAAACTTGGATTGTCTTTGTAAGGGATTATGGCACTGCATTGTAGAAGAAGTCAGGTAAGAACTTAGAATTTTCAAATTCATGGAGAGATTTTGAGTTGTGTTTAGGTTAACTTTAAAATTTAGGCTCAGGGCAGAGTGGAATTAAGTTGCAGGGAGAGAAATTGAAATTAGATAGAATTTCATAGGAGCCGAGATTCCTGAAATGTGTAGGTTTCTAAGTCTTAACATACTCGGTTGAAAAAAGCATCTTTGGTTTCCATATTAGGGTTAGAGTGATTAGCATAAGTCAAAATTTAGAATGACTACACAATTTTTATAACAGTTTTATTGAGATATAAAGTAAAATTCACCCTTTTCAAGTGTAAAATTCAATGGATTTTAGTATATTCACAGGTTTGTGTAACTATCACCACTGTCTAATTTTGAAACATTTTCATGGCTCCAGTAAAGAAACCAGTACCCATAAAGTAACCCATGAAGAAGTCACCATATCTCCCCCACCCTCCCAGCCACTAATCTACTTCTATCTCTATGGATACCTGTTCTGGCATTTCGTATAAATGAAACCATACAATATGTGGTCTGTGACTGGATTTCTTCATTTAGTGTTTTCAAGGTTCATTCATGTTAATAGTATATATCAATACTTCATTCCTTTGCATTGCTGAATAGTACTCCAGTGTACTGGTGGGTTTATCCCATTTTAGGCTCTTTTCATTTTGACTATTATGAGTAATGCTGCTAAGAATGTTCTTGTACAAGTTTTTGTGTGGACATAAGTTTTCATTTTTGTTCTGTATGTACCCAGGAGTAGAATTGTTGGGTCATATAACTATGGATACCTTTTGAGAAACTGCTAGACTATTTTCCATAATTGCTGTACCATTTTACGTCCTCACCAGCAGTGTATTGAGGGTTCCAATTTCACCACATCTTCAATACATGTTATTAGCCGTCTTTTTTATTATAATCATTGTAGTGACTGTAAAGTAGTATCTCACTGTGGTTTTGATTTGCATTTCTCTGATCACTAATGATGATGAACATTTTTCATTGTTTGTTGGCCATATCTTTGGAGAAATGTCTGCTCAAATCCTTTGCCTATTTTTTAATTGTGTATTTATATTATTGAGTTGTAAGAATTCTTTATATTCGGAATACTAGACCCTTATCAGAGATGGAATTGTTCTGTGGGTTGTTTTTTCACTCTCTTGATAGTATCTTTTGAGATAAACTTTTAATTTTGAAGGCAAATTTATATATTTTTCTTTTGTCATTTGCACTTTCAATGTGGAGTAATTACAAATTTGAGATCACATAGTAAAATAAAAATTCCTGTTTATAGTGATATTGTTGAGCAGTAACTCAAATATTTATAATTGTGTTTCCTTTTTTAAAAATATGTTTTTATTGATTTCAAAGAGAAGAAGGTAGAAGGGGAGAGAGATGGAAACATCAATGATGAAAGAATCATTGATCAGCTGCTTGCTGCTGCACATCCCCTACTAGGGATTGAGCCCTCAACCTGGCCATATGCCCTGACTGGGAATTGAACTGTAACCTACTGGTTCATGGGTCAGTGCTCAACCACTGAGCCACACTAGCCAGGCTATAATTGTGTTTCCTTAAAAAAAAAAAAAAGAACTTAATTTTTAAAATTTTGAAATCTCATAATTCTTACTAAGAAGTGTTGGAGTTGATTGAGCTTCAGTAATACTTTTTAAAATGCTGGTTTATGGTTCTTTGAGAATTATTATTATGGTAGAAATAGATAATTCTTGTTATATTTTTGTACTCCTTATCATCCATCTCCTGTGTGTCTGGCACTCTACTTTGATATTTCATATATGTTTATTACCTTATATGACCATTTTAACTATTTGATGTCATTGTATTGTCTCACCTACGTATAGGAAACTGAAGCCTAAAAAGGACAAATAACATTCCCAAGATCTTATAATTAGGAAATGATATTATGTGGATTTGAATCAAGATCTGTCTTTTATATAGCCCATGTTCTTAACTGTGTATTCTATTTTGCTCCCTTAACATCTCTGGAAAAGGATGTTTGTATCCTATGTAGTCTTGTATATCCTGGATGCTCAGTACAAGTTTGAATACCATATTTTGTAAAAGTGCTTATTTCCATTGACAAGTAGGAGTACTAATGATGTAATAAAGTAGTGTAAGAGCGGCTGTTTATTTTTCAGCCAGTACAGTGAACTTAATTTGACTCTGGAAGTTAAGGTAGAATCTTTCTTTCTCTTGCATCATTATCTCTAGGAGATGCTGCAATCTATTAGACCTGACCTTTAGAGGCAGGTGATGATTAAGAAAAGCTAGGCTGTGCTATTCACCTCTAGTTATTCACCTGTGGACCTGTGGCATGGGAAAGAGCAGTGGTATAAAGGTCAGGAGACAGTAGTTCTTGTCCTTTTGTGTTACCCATCAGTATGACCTTGGGCAAATCACTTTCTTTTTCTGAGTTGTTTCTTTGTCTAATTGAGGGTTTGAAGAAGATGCTCAAAGATTTCTGTTTGAAAATTTCCTAAAGTCAAGAAGGGTTTCTATCTTGCTCACAGTTTTATCTTCCAACACAGAGCAGAACTTCAGTATTTCTTGAGAGGCAATAGAGTGTAATTTGACAGAACTACATAGATCTCACTTTTTCTAGTTAGTAATCAAGTGACCTTGTACAGACTTCTTAATTTATCTGGACTTTAATTTCATCATCTGTAAAATGGGGATAATAAAAGCACTGTAGGGTTTATTGTGAAGATGAAATAATATATGCAAAATATTTAACATAATACTTGGCACATACTAACAAATTTTTGTCACTGAATTAATAAATGGTAATCTGTTCTTTGTCTTTTTCTTTCATTTTGAACATAGTTGTTTATTTATTTTTTAATATACTTTATTGACTTTTTTCAGAGAAGAAGGGAGAGGGATAGAGAGTTAGAAACATTGATGAGAGAGAAACATCCATCAGCTGCCTCCTGCACACCCCCTACTGGGGATGTGCCCGCAACCAAGGTACGTGCCCTTGACCAGAATCAAACCTGGGACCCTTCAGTCCGCAGGCCGACGCTCTATCCACTGAGCCAAACTGGTTAGGGCAGTTGTTTATTTCTTAAAGAAGCTTAATTAAAATATTCATCTTATTTTGTTAGAATACAGTGTAATTATGATAAAGGTCATAGTTTTATCCCACTAGTATTATTTAGCTTTTTCTCCCTCCCATAGTCTGTATCTCTAACACCAGTCACCAAAGAGATCTGAGTGAAACGAGAGAGTGTGATGAAATTAATGCAAAGCTATTGCTTCTACTTGGAAAACAACTTAAACCTTATGCCACATTGCTGATGTATTGGAAGAATCACCTTTGTATGTGACAGACAGCATTATGGAAACCTGAGGAGGGAGATTGTGCTTTTTCAGGGATTCCCAGAAGTGTGATTTTTAAAAATCTTTTTTCCTACTTCATCCTTAATCAGAAATGGATCAGAAAGTCCATGGAGACATGAGTAGAAGAAAAATGTCATGGTATATATAGGATACAGGTTCACAATCTCTTAAAACCTTTAGTGTTTGATATATTTGAGAATTCCAAATTTTTCAGATTTGATAAAAGCTAACTTTGTACATGTATCATTACATAATATCCTCATTGAGGTCTGGGCAGTTTCCAGTAATGAGACATTATCATTTCTATAATGAAATGCAGTTTATGTGGGATAAGTAGAACATAAATAGCTTTATATCTGTTTACACTACATGTTGCTGTCAAATGACTTTATTGAAAACCTATAAGATATTTTTTGGTTTTCAAAGGTTTTTGATTCTGGGATTTGTAGATATGAAATTGAAAATCTTATTCACTCACAAGAATGCCATGCCTATAGAAATATTTGGTAAATGTAAATGTAAAGTCAATGTTAGCTTTTTTTTTTTTTTTAAATATATATTTTATTGATTTTTTACAGAGAGGAAGGGAGAGAGAGAGAGAGAGTTAGAAACATCGATCAGCTGCCTCCTGCACATCTCCCACCGGGGATGTGCCCGCAACCCAGGTACATGCCCTTGACCGGAATCGAACCTGGGACCCTTCAGTCCACAGGCTGACGCTCTATCCACTGAGCCAAACCGGCTTCGGCAATGTTAGCTTTTTTAAAAAAACATTTTTTTATTGATTTTAGAGATGAAGGGAGAGGGAGAGAGAGAGAGAAACATCAATGATGAGAGAATCTTTGATCGGCTGCCTCCTCCTGGGAATTGAGCCCACAACCTGGGCATGTGCCCTTGACCAGAATCCAACCCAAATCACCCGCAGGCCAACGCTCTATCCACTGAACCAAACCGGCTAGGGCGAAAGTCAATGTTAGCTTTCTTTAACAACTATAATGTTCCTCGTTTTTAGTCGCCTCTAAATTAAAAAAAAATTTATAGAATTTTAAAGTCAGAAGTGAATCATCAAAATCCTTTATAATAACCTATATCATAGTTTCTATTAAACTTAAGTTTTTATTTGTGAAGTACTGGGTTAAATTAAAATGATGTTATCTGTTTGTTGCTAGAAGAAAAGTTAATACTGTTTTATTCTCCACAGCCAAATCCAATATCTGTCAACTTTAAATGGAAGAATTATGTAACTGGAAGCCTTTACTTAATTTTATATTTAAGAAATAATTAATAATGATGCCATGAGATTCCATGCTTGTTTCTTCCTGTGGGGTGCATAATGAGCGACATGCTCTGTGGCTTTCTGTTTTCCTGGGGTATGTGTGTTTCATTGATCCACAGGGTACCTAGTTTTCATTCTTGAACATTTCAGAAAGCAAAATGAGTAACATGTAACTTTGGCCAGATGGATGTTAGGATATACTTTCACAGGCAGAAGAACATCAAACACAGCATCAACATTTGCATAAGTGTCATCATGGGCTTGGAATAAAATCTAAGAGACATTAGTGAAGTGCTCTTTGAACTTCAAGGAACCAAATGGTTAAAAAACAGGGGGGGTGAAAAACAGCTAGCTCTACACAGTACAAAGCCAGCTAAGAGCTTCCCCTTCTTTTATGGATTCTTTTATGAAATGCTGCCTTACTGGTATTTTTGATACAACTTTTTGTGGGATAAAAACATTAATCTGATCACCAATAGAGGAGAATTCCTTCCCCACACCTGCCCTATCCTCCCCTCCCTTCTCCCATCCTCACTGGTGTGGATGCTTGTTTTTTAAAGTCATGTTAATAAAAACATAAAAGCAAAAAATATATATTAAGATCTGAGTCATAAAGTGATTCATAAGCATTGGACTTTGAATGCAAAGTAGTTTTAGAAGCACGTAAGGCAATTTGTTTTGCTTATGTATTTCTCTTTATATATGTGAAAGGCTAATATAAAAATTCCAAGGCTAAAAGAATTCTTTCAATAAACAAAAGTAGAAAGAAGTGGTAAGAAAACACTGTCATAGTTAATGGTTTTTTCTTTATTAGTATACGAGAGGCCCGAGACATGAAATTTGTGCAAGAGTAGGCCTTCCTTCCCCCAGCTACCGGCACCTGCTTCCCTCTGGCACCCAGGACCCGGGCTTCCCTCACAGCCCCAGCTTCGTCCGGAAGGATGTCCGGTCTAATTAGCATATTATGCTTTTATTATTATAGATAGAATATTGATGTATCCACATATTATACATTAAGTGAATATTATACTGAATACAGTATGAACTGAATGTATTAGATTAGATGAAATACGGTAGATTAAATATATCAAGTTAGAATATGTAGCCACAAGCTGTAAGTTGTGCTCTTGCTTCTCATCTAATTTTATTCCTCTTTTTAAAAAAAAATTTTTACTGCATTTATTGGGGTGACATTGGCAAATACGTTTCCTCTTTTAACTTTCGGTGTTTTGGCAGTGTTCTTGTCACAGACCAGTGAGACACAGAGACATCATGAGAATTCTAGTAAAGATGCCCTTTCCCACTCCCTGTGTGTGAGTGAATGCTAAAGGTGCTAAAGATCTTCTAACCCCCATTCCCACTTTCTCAGGCTTGGCTCCTTTATCAGGCAAGTGTCCTGCATGGACATTTGGGGATGTGTTATAGCACCACAGTAAGAGATACATTTTACGTTTCTACTTGGTACACATATAAACAAATACTATTAAAAAGTAAACTTTCTTTTTTTACATCTGCATAGTATTCCATTGTGTAAATGTACCACAGCTTTTTATCCACTCATCTACTGCTGGGCACTTGGGCTGTTTCCAGATCTTAGCTATTGTAAATAGTGCTGCTATGAACATAGGGGTGCATGTGTCCTTTCTGGTTGGTTTTTCAAGCTTCTTAGGCTATATTCCTAAAAGTGGGATCACTGGGTCAAATGGCAGTTCCATATTTAATTTTTGAGGAAATTCCACTCTGATTTCCATAGTGGCTGTACCAGTCTGCATTCCCATCAGCAGTGTACTAGGGTTCCTTTTTCTTCTCATCCTCACCAGCACTTGTTTGTTGATTTAATGATGGCAGCCATTCAATAGTGAGGTGGTACCTAATTATTGTTTTAATTTGTGTCTCTGATGATTGGTGATGTTGAGGCATCTCTTACCCTTTGAGACAGCATGGAGGGACCTAGAAATAAGTCAGTCAGAGAAAGACAAGTATCACATGATCTCACTAATACGTGGAATCTAATGAATAAAATAAACTGACAAACAGTATAGGACAATAGACATGGAAGAACGAAACAGGCTGATTGATGGATCTCAGAGGGAAGGGGTTCTGGGTGAGGGCGGGTAGAGATTAATCAAGTAACTCATATGCATATATGCATAACCCATGGACACAGACAATAGTGGGGTGAAGGCCTGGGGAGGGCATGAGAGTGGGGAGGGGGAGGTCAATGGTGGGAAAAAGGGACAACTGTAATAGTTTAAACAATAAAAATAAACTTTCACAAAACAGTGTTTAACAAGTACTGGTCGTAACTCAGTAAATGGATTTTGTGATCCTTTACTGAGTTTCAGCCCATATTTGGAAAACTCTCCTTTTCTCTTCCTCTCTATTATACACATGTGTGTACCCACATATACATATGTGTGTGTGTGTGTTTACCTTTCTCATATGAATAACTGAGCTATAATGAGTTGTGGATAGTAAACCATAAATTTACATTTCTAGTTCTTGCTTTACTATCTGGGAAATTCAATATGAAATCATTTTACTTTATAGGCTGGAGCATTGGATTTGCTGAAGGAGCTTAAGAATATTCCCATGACGCTGGAATTGTTACAGGTATGTACTGCTGCGTGTCATAAGTTTTTAATAGGTAATGGTCATAAATTACTCAAATGTCTTCAATATCAAATTTTTTGTCATTGCCTTGCAGTCCACAAGAATTGGAATGTCAGTAAATGCTATTCGCAAGCAGAGTACAGATGAAGAAGTTACATCTTTAGCAAAGTCTCTCATCAAGTCTTGGAAAAAGTTATTAGGTATAATTGATCTTCCCTTATGTATATTTATGATGTTCTGGTTTATTTAAACATTTGAATTTTCTAGTAGTTTTCTTGTCTTCCAATATTTATAATATAATATTGCCTCTTTTAACTAAGAAGACAATTTCCCCCCAAAGAGAAGGTTGCCATACTTTAAAAAATTTTTGTCGTATTTGTTTTGTCATAGTCTCTTTTTTTCTATATATATACTCACACACAAATTATTTTTTCTAAACCTTTGGTGAATATGTTGCATCTATCATGCTTTACCCTTTAATACTTACATGTCTTTTTCCTTATAACAAGTTTATTTTCTTATGTAATTATAATACAAGAAATTCAGGAAGTGTAACATGAGAATAGTACTTTAATCTTCAGGGAATATTCTATTTTTGTCAGTTGTCCCAGTGTCTTTTATATCTTTTATGACATTGACATGAAGAATACAAGCATGCTATACCCTTTGCTTTAACCCCTTCCCCGGCAGAAACGTGTATACTCGTTTTCACAAAATGTTCTTTTTCAGTCATCGACGAGTATACTAAGAAAATATGGTAAAAAAAATATGGTTTATAGGAAGACGAGTTACAAACTGTTTTCATAACCAGCATCAAAAATACTATATAGAACCAAAATAAAAAAATTAGTCTGAAAAAGAAACGTTTTTAACAAAAAAATTGTTGGGGAAGGGGTTAATGCATGTTACTTATTTGGGGTTTAGCTGCAATTTTCTCATGATTAGATCAGGCTGTGCATCCATAGTTACAATGCTACATAAGTGGGTTATATCCTTCTTGGGGTTTGAGACCCAGAGGCATTGATGATGTAAATTTTGATTACCCAGTCAAGGTGTACACTGTATCATTTATTATTTTTCCTCTTGCATCTAATAGACATTCTGTGGGAGATACTTTAAGATCTTGAAACTACCTTGCTCCTCATCAGACCTCACTACTCTTCTCCCCAAACCGTTTTTTATAGTGACAATTGCAAAATAGTGATTTTCTCTGTCACTTCCTTAATATCTATAAATCATCATTCTGCTATAAGAAAGAACCTCCTTTTATACCTCCCAGTTATTTATCTACTAGAGGTCCGGTGCATGGATTCATGTACCGATTGGGTCTCTCAGCCTGGCCTGCGCCCTCTCACAATCCTCCCAGGGCTGAAGGGCTCCAGGGCATGTCTGGCCCTTCTTGCCCAGTCCCGATCAGCTGGACCCCAGCAGCAAGTTAACCTACCAGTCTGAGCATCTGCCCACAGGTGGTCAGTGCACATCATAGCCACTGGTGGAACCATCAAACAAATAGTCACATGATCGGTCACACTTAGCATATTATGCTTTTATTATATAGGATTCTTGGTGTGGACACTTGATTCCTTTTCTATATAACAGACATACAATGGATTATAATCCATTACTCATTTTTATTTTGGTATCTACATTGTCCCAAATTTGACCAGTGGGCAGTTCTTTAAATTGGCTCCTTTGTCCCTTTGACAAGCCCCCTTCAATTTTTTTTTCACTCTTACATTTTGATACCACAAAATGTATTGGTCTCGTCCATCTTCCTTGTACTAGCCCTGGAATTAGTCATTTCTCTAATCAGTTATTGGCTTTATATGGAAGAGAAAATAGAAAAACCAAACCTTTTAAAATTTCAAGGGCCACAATAGTAATAACAAAAAACATATAAGAACGTGGTAACTAGAAACTAAAAATTGTTAAGCCTATAATATTTAATTGCCTGGTCTTAGGATAACAAAATGTAATATAAGATTCTGTGAATATATTAGTGCTTTTTGGCTTTTGCTGCTGCTTATTATAATTATTAAATTCTCATTTTTACTCTATATTTCCTTTTATTAAATTTTCATTTATATTTCATATCCTTTTTTAAAAAAGTGTTTAGATTAAACAGTACATTAGACATGTATTGTGTATAAGAAAGGTTAAAACGGGGCCTGGAGTGGATTAATCAGTTTACATTATTTTTAATGGGAAATAATGGTTCGGTTTTGAACAGCCTTTCGGAATGAATTAAGTTCCAGGACTGAGGTTCCATTGTATCTATATTGTATTTTTAATGAAAAACACTTTTGTATTTTTTAAAATCATAACTCATTTTTATTGGTTTCCAAATAATCAATCCATTGTGTGACTATACAACAATTTAATCCCTTGCCTATTAGATTTGTTGTTTTTAACTTCATGGCTATTATAAATAATGTCTTGATGAATATCTTTCTGACTAAAGCTTTTTCTTTAGGATGTTATTAGATTTCTAGAAGGTTTACTGCTGCTGCTACTAGATTGCACAGATTTGAATACTTAAGATGTGCCAAGTGTTGATCTTTATTAGTGCATTTAATCCTCCCAACAATCGAGTGTGCTAGGTGCTATTATAATTCTCATTTTGTGATGAGGAAATTGAGGCACTGAGAGATTGAGCACTTTATGCACAGTTGGACTGGGTCCAGTAGGCAGATCTGTTCACAGAAAGTCTGAGTCCAGAGCTGGAGCACTTCCCTGCTGCTGAACTGTATTACCCACAGCACTATTCAGATAATGGGCATGTTTTTAAGGCTGTTCACACTTATTGCTCTTCTTTCTGACTTATACTGTGCTAATTTATACTGTGCTGGAGCAGTTTGCACGATCAGTTTTATTGCTCTTCTGAGAGCTTTGGATCCTTGGTAGATAGTATTGCATTGTTATAACACCTTTCAAATGCTTTCTACCCTATTATTAATTTTTTTTAATCCTCACCTGAGGATATTTTTTCTCATTGATTTTTTTTTTTGAGAGACTGGGAGGGAGCAGAGAGGGAGGGGAAAGAGAGAAACATCCATGTGAAAGAGACACATTGATCAGTTGCTTCCCGAATGTGCCCCTACTGGCCAGGAGTTAATCCTGCAACCCAGGTATGTGCTCCTGACCGGAAATCGCAGGCCAGTGCTCTAACCATTGCGCTACCCGCCAGGGCTCTAACCTTTTACTTTTGAAACATTTCTTAATCTTTGCTGTATTCTTTAATGTCATTATTGATCTTTGTTTTCTTCTTCATAACACTAGAGCATCTTTATGTTTGAGGGTTTTCTAGGTGAATTTTAGAGAATAACGGGGCAGTAAAATGAGTATGTGAAAACTAAAGCATACACTTAGTATAGGGTGTTTGAATTATACTTCAGGTTTGATAACCCTAACCTTTATGAGATAAATTGTAGAATTGAGATTTGGACCAAACTCTTTCAGTTACTCATCCAGAATAGCTATTAGAATCATCTGAGGAACTTTAAAGTTTTGATGCTCATGCCTCACTGCCAGAGATTTGGGTTGAATGGCTCGGGATGGGAGGATGATGAGGATATGCTTAAAGGTTGCCTCGGTGGTGCTAATATACGGTCAAATGTATGTTCTTCTGTATTCTCTACAGAGATGTGGAGAATTGAATTATTTGTGTATCTCTTATTAGGTAGAGATAAAAAATTATTCAGTAGATCCAAACATTTTCTGAACCCAGCTTTGAGGCTCTTTTGGTTGATTTAAACATGAGTGTTTCTTTTCAGTGCTTAAATATTGCATTGGCCCAATCTATTTTATGTGCTTTATTTCCCAGTTGTAATTGTCCACCTCCTTAAGTCTTAAAGCCTGAGCACTCTGTATTATCTTACATATTACTTAAGACTGAGTAAGTGCTGGGTAGGTTTTACTAATCATGAAGGACTTTCTGTGAAAATGTTTTTGTTACTACCCCTGAAAAATTTATTTATATTTTGGGTACCACCTTAAATGTTTTGCCTTCATGAAAAATTATTAAAACAATATTGCTATATATTCTTTGTGCTTTCATTGTTATGACAGTGCTGCTGATTTTTTTCATATTCTTTCCTTCCCTTTGTCTGTATACTTTTCCTCTCTTTTAGGGTCCATTGGCATACAAATATATGGTTTCCACTAAATTGGGGAGTTTATTTGGGAATGCTGACAAGCATTCATTGTAACAAATACTCAAGTACATATTATAAAAGAATAGCTTAAGTAAATTTTATTTACTTGTTGAAAACTTAGGATTTTAGTTTTTTTGTTTCATAAATAGCCTGATAACATGTAGTTCAGTTTTGTTTTGTTTTTTAACAAATGCTAACAACTTAAGGATTTCATAATTTTTTAGATGGACCATCAACTGATAAAGATCCTGAAGAAAAGAAAAAAGATACCACAATTACATCACAGAATAGTCCTGAAGCAAGAGAAGAAAGGTATTTTGTTACGTGGGAATTCATTTATGTTCAAAGTCATAGTTTTACTTGACCACCCCACCTCCTTGGTCTTATGGCCCCGTATCTGTACTCTTTTGTTTTTTAATCTATTGGAATTAGCCAAATATTTATAGGTTTCTTAGAAAATTTATTGGAAATTTAAAGAGAGTTAGATCCCACATAACTAGAAGAAATTATTTACATTGTACTCAACAAGTTTAATTGAATGGAATCTCTAGGCTAGTACTACTAGAATTGGCAATGAAGGTATTGATGAGGGATTCAAATGGTTTCGTCCTCTATTTACCACATTCCTGTTTCAGATTTTTAAATTTTTTGTTCTTGGATCTAATTTTCCTTTTTATGATTTTATTTCTCTTTCCAGTTTAGCTATTTGTCATAAGAATTGAAAATGTAAAGTTCAGTAATGAAGGATTCATATTGTTTTGCAGATCTTAGGAGCCCTTTGCATTTATTCTTTCTTCTCAGAGATAATGAACTGTGACATCCAACACATTGACGTAAAACGTGATATGCCTAGTAGATTAAAAACAGTTCCTCTGTTCTTGGAAAGCTTGTACTTAGTTGCACACCTGACATTGATTTTTAGGCATTGGTTCTCAAAGTGTGATCCCTGTAAGAGCAGGGGACCTGGCAACTTTAGCAAAGCAAATTCTTGGGCTTTACCCTAGACCAGTGATGGCGAACCTATGACACGTGTGTCAGAGGTGACACGCGAACTCATTTTTTTGGTTGGTCTTTCTTTGTTAAATGGCATTTAAATATATAAAATAAATACCAGAAATATAAGTCTTTGTTTTACTATGGTTGCAAATATCAAAAAATTTCTATATGTGACACGGCACCAGAGTTAAGTTAGGGTTTTTCAAAATGCTGACACGCCGAGCTCAAAAGGTTCGCCATCACTGCCCTAGAACTACTGAATTGCGAAATCTGGAAGTGGGACCTAGAAATATGAGTGGGTTTTTTTTGTGTCTTTTTAAGTATATTTTTATTGATTTCAAAGAGGAAGGGAGAGGGAAAGATAGAAACATCAATGATGAGAAGGAATCATTGATAAGCTGCCTCCTACACGCCCCATACTGAGGAGGGAGCCTGCAACCTGGGTATGTGCCCTGACTGGGAATTGAACCCATGACTTCCTGGTTCAACCACTGAGCGATGCCAGCCAAGCTAGAAATATATTTTTAACAAACCTTTCAAATGATTCTGATGCACTCAAATTTCAGGCTACCTTTTTAACTTCATTTATCTCTCAGTATTTTCCCAAAATTGATAATGTACTTATTTTTTTTTAGTAGCCAAGAAAAATATATACCATACACTGTTATTTTACATATTAATACTACTTAAACTTGATAATAAAAGAGGTAAGCTAAAGGTAGGGTTGAACACCAGTTGTGAATAAAACTTATTAGTTTTTCTAATTGTTTTGAGATAATTTTAAACTTCTTGAAAATTGTAAGATTAATATTGAGAACTGCTAATTGCCCCAATATTTACATGCATATGATACACAAACACACACAAACTGGTGTTATTTTAAATAAAAAGTCATTTTTAGGCATATGCTCTTTATGCCCCTAAATGCTAGCTACAGCAATGTCTATTTTCTAAGATCAGGGACATTTTCTCACATGTAACCACAATAAAGCTATATATATTACAGAAATTAACATTGGTACCTTTTTCTAATACAAATACCTTATTCATATTTCAACAATGTCTTTTATTGCAAGGGAAAAAGATTTTTCCAAAATACCATTCAGGATCACACTTTGCATTTAGTTATCATATCTCTTTAGTTTTCTTTATCTGGAGTGATTCTCAGTGTGTCATTGTCTTTCATAACTTTTATATTTTTTAAAAGTACGGGCCATAATTTATGAATTTTTTAACATATGCTTCCAGTTGTCTAATTTGGTGACATTCAGTAATTTGGTGACATTCAGAATCACCGATTTAATGCCTTGAATATAAAATAAAAATGTACAGACAAACCTTGGTTCTCGAATGTCTCCCATTGTGAACAGTTTGGTTCTTGAACAAGTTGTTCACAGGAAAATGTCTAAACAGCTAAATGTAGAATATACACAAAATGGCCTTTTTGCCTACAGTGATCTTGTGAAGTTTGGAAACGTTTTGGAGAGAAGGCAAGGAGGTATCTGCTTGCAGTAGAGAAGGGAGTTAGATCTATGGAGGGTGAATAATTTAGTCTTGAGGAAGGTTTATGGCAAATAATCTCTAATGTGATAAAAGTTAACCGAAACCAGTCAGAAAAGTATTTTGATTAGAATCTAAGTTAATCATAGCAGTTGAAATGATTAGGTTGTCTGGAAAATTATTAAACTGTCCTAATTAAGTGGTGATTCTGGGGAAAAATTAAGAGGCATTTTTATATTCTTGCAGCTCATTTCTCACTATACATGATTTTTATCCTGAAGGGGATGTTTTAAATGTAAAACTCATTGGTTTAATTATTGGAATAGGGTTTTTTAAACATCTCTCCCCCTTTTTTTAAGTTGAGAGCTGTCATATTCCCTTCACCCCTTTCATAATAAATAAGATCTTTGTTTTTCACTTACTGTATTCAACTATAATGTGTATTTTCTATATTAAAATATTGTTTAATTTTTAAAAGAATCAAGATCAAATGTTTAGTTGGTTAAAGACATGAGACTTCTGTTATCTTTACTAAAATTTTAACTTTTTAATTGATACGCAGGCAATTTTTTTAAATGCAGGAGTCACTATCATTTATTTAGGGCAAAAACACTATTTTTAGAGAGTGATAGTAATGATGTTAATTTGAGTTTTCCCTAATTTTTTTTATATTTGATATTTTTTGGTGTGTGTGTATTTTGTTTTTATTTATTATGTGTGTGTGTATTTTAGTAGCTCCAGTGGCAGTGTAAGCAGCAGAAAGGAGGAGACGAATGCTCGAGATACTTACGTGTCATCATTTCCTCGGGCACCAAGCACTTCCGACTCTGTACGGTTAAAGTGTAGGGAGATGCTTGCTGCCGCTCTTCGAACAGGAGGTGAGTTTAGTATATGTTATTTCAGTGCTCAGTCCTTTGATCATCGCCACTACCAATGCCATGTGCACCTCCATATTTCTGTTTTACCAGCGGCATCCCATTGATAGCTGGCCACCGCTGCTCAGCTTAGCTCGGAGTGGTTGTTGTTATAGGGGTTGCTAAAGGCAGAGAGGTGGTATAGACATACTGAGGCCTTTCCCTGTCACTTTGTAATTCCAAGAAATGGATTCCTCCTAATGTATGGATGTTTCCTGATTCATAGTAATTGAAACTTTCTTTTACAAATATTTCCCCCCCACATTTTAGTTAGCAGACTGTTTTCTTACCCTCCCCCATAGACAGTTAGTGATACTGTATTTTGGTGACATTGTTAAATGTTAGTATGACATATAGTATATAAGTTTTGAATTCATAATTTTTTCTATTTTTTTAAAGGAAATTAATATTGATTTATATATGAGAGCTCTAATTTAATTTAGTTTGAAGATATTTTTATTATGTAAAAATTTGGTTTTAAAATGTCATATACAAGAATATTTACTTATGATCTTAAAGAAATTCTTTTTTTTCTATTATACTGAGCCATAGTTAGTATGACCTACTTTTCTCCTTACTCTGCCCTTTCTACATTGATTCCCTTATTATCTTTTTTATATTTTTTCTCTTTTCTTCCTACTTTCTTTATATTTCCTCCTATTCTTTTTAATATTTGCATAGGATTCTTCTGAGTGTGAACATATATGTGCATGGCAGATTAAATGAATGGCTTCTTCGCATTGAAGCCTGAATCACAGGACATGAGACAGTTCTTTCTATTAC